GGCGAATTCGGCTCTAAATGAAGATCTACCGTTCATTTGCTTGGATTAGATTTATGAATGTACCCAGAAATCCTCGTCCTTCTGTTCCAAATGCATTCACGACCACGCCGACTGGTTTCACGATGTAGTTACGAAGCGCAGTTGGGTTTCGATGAATCTGCTGAGATTGTTGAGAAGAGCTGCATTTTGTATGAAGTTGCATGAAGAAGAGATTCGTAGTTTGATCTCACCAAAAGACGACGGCTGAATCGCGTTGTACTGCAGCCGTTTGGCTTTAATACGACGTTCAAGTTAACACAGTCCACGAGACGTCCTCCTTCAATTCAGGTGAAAAAGAGCTGATTTTTGTCCATCATTTGATGGACATCATCCATAAATTGCAATTTTCTTTTGCCTAATTGAGTCTCTATAAGAGGTAAGATAGAGTCGGAGAGCGTTCTAATTTGATGTTTGTTTTTCGTATTAAAGTAGAGTTTGTTAACGAAAGACATTTACAAGAATGAGTTCCAGATCTGATGATGTCCATCAAATGATGTACGAAAGATCAGTCCGCTTATTATCTTTCTGGCTGACCGGAACTACTACAATAGATGACTTTGGAAAAAGTGTGTTTCACCACGTTGCCATGACAACTTGATCTCAGCGTCCGAGAGACCTGATGTAAAGTTACTAGTCTCGTATTTCTTACCAAAGCATTCGTGAGTTCCTGCACAGCACCATTCACTTGATACATTCCACAAAGTTTCGCTGGCATTTTAGTCAGCTCACTCAGTGAGTCTTACTATTCTCGGCAACAAACTAGAACTCGACAAAGAGACAAATGAAGCCAATCCTTGGACCAAACTTTCTGCCGAAATGGTAGCTCCATCAATCCTCCTTTTGTCCTGGCCCATCTATCTACTTCCTACACTCTTGTCTCACCCTCGCCCTATCAAAACTTTCCACTTGGCTCTATTCCACACCTCAAGAAGTGTGTCCTTTTAGAGAATTTACCGCGGCTCACTTGTCCTCCTCCCTCACGATTCGCTGATCCGACTCGGATCTCCTGTCCTGATCGGCCTCTTGAGCCCG